GTTTTTGAAATGATAGGCGCTGCAGTTTACCAATGCAGTTGTGGATGTTGATTGACCAATGAAGATTACTATGTGGTTACACCAAGTTATTTTCAGAGTTCACCCTGAATAAGCAGTTTTTATTAATTACTGTGGGGTCTGTCGAATATGGGGAGCGAGCACAACTAAATAAACTTTCAACCCACCCACTGGGGTTTAGGATTAGCCCCGATGAGGAGGAAAAAGACTAAATTTGGTCAAGATCGTCGGTGAAAGAGCTCAGATCAGAGTAAGAAGTAATGGGTTGGCACAATACGACGTCATCTGCATTTTTAAAAAAATCGCGGAGGAGAAACACAGGGAATATCACAAATATAAGTGGAAAATAAGTATGTGGATATCACAGCTCCTTGAAGAAATCCGGAGTTGTTGACTAAGGATTTCGATGTGGCCTTCACCAATCTAGTGGTTTGTACTCTATCCGTAAAATATTTTGATATCCAAGATAACACCTGCTTGGGGCATTCAAACGATTCCAGTTTTTGTAACAAATTAGATCGAGGAATAGCATCAAATGCAGAAGAGTAGTCGAGAAAAACACCTAACAGACTTAACAGGGTTGTCCAACCATTTATTGTTGAAATGAATGAGGGTAGAGACTGCGTCCAGGGTGGATCTATTTGACTTGTAAGCAAACTGTAGAGGATCACTGGGAATGTTTATGGACTGCTGAAAGCGTTTGAGGATGGCTTTTTCAATCAATTTAAGAGTTGATGTTAATGCTATGGGGGGCAGAAACGTTTGGAGATGATAGAAGATTTGGATGCTATGGGATTAGTATGATTGTGACCGGCCTCCAACAGTCGGAGATAGCAGAAGTGTTAAATGATTCATTGATAATGAAGGTGATTGCCCCAGCTAGGAAAGCAGCACCAAGTTTGAAAAGGGCTGGATGTAAGTTATCCGGGTCTGCAGCAGATGGTTATTTACAAATGTTTAAATGTTTTAACACAATACAGTATGAAAATGGTTCCACGTTACAAACATTTTGTGACGAGTAGGCAGGAAGAATGTCCGATGACTGCCGCAAGAATGTAGCATTGACATCATCAGCATCCACATCCAGCTTCGATCGTACGTTCTTCCTTTCACAGAGAAGTCTTATAACTTGACACAGGTGTTCGCTGTTTTCAGTCCTCAGAATTCGATCACAGAATAATGTGTTTGATCTATTTATTTCAGCTTTGATAAGCCTGGACAAATAACTTACAGCTGAATTATTGTGAGACTTGTACGTACGTTCCTTTTGTCGTAGGTGAGAGTTTATCCTTCCGTTGGACACAAAGGCTTTTGAAAAGGGCAGCAGTAATTATAAATTACATTGATTGTTTAGGTAAATGTGGGAACACACGAGAATAGAGAGGAAGAAGATTATGAAAACCATAAAGAAACCTGTCTGAGAGATTCGTTGAGGAGAGAAACACTTGTTGGTGAAAAGTTGCGAAAAGGAAATCTGATATGGTCTGGCCGTGATAAAGATTTGTGTGCACAGTGTGAATAAACTGTAGGTTGAACTAAGAGTAAACAATGGTCATTGAAAGAACTACGTGCTTTTAGTGCTAAAGAAAAAGGGTTGGGTAGTTGGTAATTACTCTGTCGAGTATATAATTACCTCTTGTGGGAGAGTGGCCAAGATCTATCAGACCCAATGTTAAAAGTTGATAAGTACTAGTATGGTTAAAGTGCAGGTGAGAATCTAAAAAGTGAGGCAATAAAAGGTTTGAACGAGTCGAAGAATGAGATACGATCGGATTGTATACAGTAAAGAGCTATTGACAAACTAGTCAAAATTGTGTGCAAAACGGGAAAATCTAGGGTGACACTGCTTAGTTAGGCACTCAATACCTTTTTAGTAGTACGGAAAAATAATATAGGATTTGCCACATCAGGAAACATTGACATATGTGACAATACTCCCTCCGGTCATTTTTCCTCCGGTTCCACGATCCTGTCGGTGAACTTGAAAACCGTCTATTGACGCTAGAGTGTCATGCACATCCTAATTCAATCAGGATTCCTAAACACAGACTGAACACGTGTTCGCATGAATTCTGGATTGGAGGACACTAGTTAAATCCGACATTTTAGGAAACAGGACCGAGTGTTAATGCTGACCAATGAGGGCTCAGTCGTCTTTGACACAGGGGTGCAATTAAGAGCAACTTGCCATCCTGCACGCTTGCGTTTTTGGTCCAGCCTGGAAAGTAATAAACTGGAGTCGCACACTTGTTGAATGATCGAAGCACGTCCTGGCACGCTTGAAACAAATAGTATCATCCCGTGAGTAATGAGGACGCATGAAATGGAATGAAAATGTGAAAATTTCCACAATGTGCCGGAAAGCGTGTAGCTGTAGCGCAACCAATCAAAGGGCGCACACACCAATTCAGCAATCCACCTGTGGTTCTCCATGAATGTGCAGTTTTAATCTCCGTTTTATTCTCCTACATGCTCATCCTGGACTTTACTCAGTATTGCACTCCGGACTGCTTGAGAGTGGCTTCTATCACGCCAGCAACCAAAAAGTGAATGTCTAAATTTCACGTTATTGCTTGCACTTCTGTTGGTGTGAATGTCCTTGAAAAGATTGTATTACGGATGTTGTCCCAAATGAAAGCACCTGATCCCACTCAAATTGCCTGTTCCAGGTCAACCATCGATGCGTTGGCATCCCTCATTAATTATGTTTCTTCTTTTTTTGACATAAAGTGTAAAGTTGTTCGGGTTGTGAATTCCTGGTTCCATGTGTTTTCATGAATCGCCTTTGTTCGATAACTATCTCATCTCCACAGCGTCTCTCGTCTTGTGTTTGAATTCCAAAAAACTCTTTAGCTGGATGGTTGCAGATGATGAAGATCATAGACGCAAACCGACAGCAGTGGCGATCTTGAAGTCAGTCCTTGTCAGTCCAGAATGCTTGAAATAATGTTTATGCAGCAGATTATTTACCGGAAGAACCGGAAAGTATAAAGCAAACACTGTTCGACACAGCGGTTTATCCGGAACTATTCGTTCTGAAGAATTTGACAGAGCGGCCTCTGAGAGCACTACTGGCAACAGTTAAAAGAAAAGAACTGTTCTTAAGACTTTTTTTGATAGAGATTATATGTCTGAGTTACTAAGACGCCGATTAAAAACAGCCATTACTCGTACGTTCACTACTGCACGCTACGTACTCAATTCACTAGTCGAAGAATGGTCTCCGTAAATCTTAAAGATACATTGCCTATCCTCTCCTCATCTATGATCACTTAACATTTGCTTTGCTCATGTTCGGAAAGTTATGTAGGAAGAACGATCAGGCAATTTTCGCAAAGAAACAAGGAGAACAAGGCAGCGTGGATGATTTCTGATAAGGAAAACGATTAAAAGTGCAGTTGTAGAACACCTTGCAGACACGGGTCATCAATCAAACGAGGACCCAGTCAAGGTGATCTACAAAGTACCAGCAAACCCATCTAAAGCTGTGCGTCAACGGAACCTTGCTACAGCCCAGACGGTGGCTATTCATTAACTCAACCCATCCCTTTGTTCTCAAAAGCGATTTGTCCAGTCGCTTCGCTTACCCTGGCCTCAATTTGACAAAGGTGACCGAAACGACAGTGACTCTTGTCATAACTCACGGGCACAGACCGGCAATGGAACAGCTCAGTCTATCCAGCGACTGTGACCATTTCCAAGCGACACAAGAACAAAACCCAAAACTCTACACTTCCATTTCCAAACCACATGTGTTTGTTGATAGTGCAGGCTTGGATTTATTATAGGTTGTCCTATGGTGGTTTTCGGTCTTGTATGAAAAAATAACAGAGATGATGGGTTGCGTCCATATTTATAATATAGTAAACTATCTTATGCATCGGATAAATAGCCCCCGAACAACAAACCTCTGATCATCTAAGTATATACATATACAGGTAAATTTGAGTTTACGTTTATCACAATATCAATTTTCAAAAAGCGATTCGAAAGGATTTCGCATAAAACAGCGTTCAACGCTTAAAGCTCAACTGCAGCGGCAGAAACAACCGTCAGTTTTCAGTTTTATTTGCCACGCCTCCTCCAAAAAAGAACACCTTCAAAGACAATATTTGTTCAGATAAACGTTCCCGAAGTACTGTGAAGATTTCGCCTTAGACAAAATACGTTGTTTAGTCACCGGAGAAGAACAAAATGTTCTGTTTATTGGTTTGGTTTGTCACGGCTTTTGCTTTTAGTCCTGCGCGTTTTTCTTCTATTGCAGTTTTGATTCATGTGAATGGAGAAATGGATACACAAGAATCAATATTGAGCCTTCTCAGAAAAATTCCATTATTCTGATTGGTTCCATTGGCTCTAATAAACATGGTGCAAACATGCTCCATTAGGATACACTTGTTTATGCATTTGAGTATAGAACCTAGACGTAGTCATTTCTATTTACAGCAAAATGTGCGTTCTACACATTTTTGTTCTTCTGTCCTTTACAACATTTCTGAGGGCTCAATCGCCAACTTGTGTTCACGAATTGAAAGTAACGGACAATCCACTGGATATATCAAATTCGTATAAGGCCCAGCAGCCGGAAAAATGTACCCTTAAATTATCAACGGATGAAGGGTACAGACTGAAACTGAATGTTACCGATATTTCGGTGAGTAACGTAGTGATGGAAAGGATTTCGAACTTTTCGATCTTTATCTAATGAAAACCCTTTTCTTCATCAACATTCAACTGACATAGAAAAATACAGCGAAACCTTGTTTTTAAAAACAGACGGCATCAATAAATTTGAGAACTACTAACACATCTACGTAAAAGTAAATGTTTATTTCCGAAACAGCATTTAATTAAAATAGAAAATCTTTGGGGTTTGATTATTTCAGAAACTGCCCCTATCTGGCGACAAGTGTGTGTACGATTTCATCAAGTTTGCGAATGATGAAGCGGGTCTTGATCAGGCAGAAGCATACTGTGATAAAATGAAGGTGCCCGGATTTGATTCCACAGCAAATACAATGGTATTTTTCTATCAAATAATGACTACGGATGAGAATGTTGGATACCAAGCCTACGTAAAACGAGGTAGGTACGATTAACAGCAATGCAGAATCATCATATTGTTTTTCCAAATGAGTGTCACCATTTTCGCTTCCACAATTTCGGGAGTATATAACAACCGAATACTTATAATCAAGTTTCCTTCTACTGAACCCAGTCAATGCCAAAGCATCATGTGGAACGTTTTCTGATACATTTGATGGATCTGAACAAGTGTTCCAATTTCCAGTGGACGGTAAAGCAATGGAACTCGATGTTGAGTGCCAATACAAAATTACCAATGATAAAGGATCAAAAATCGAGGCAAAGATCATGCATATGAAGGTAACGTGGATTTCGCCATTCGATAGAAAACTACATCGGTTCGTCACGAACTCAGTTGGTATTGTAATTATTCATAATTTGTTTACGTGTGCTTTGCGAACCTGCTTGCCTTACCTTTGCAAAATTCAGCTTGGCAATGGAAAGCCGTGTTCAACGGATTATGTGGCTCTGAGTAGTACTGCAAATCCGAGTTCCACAAGTGAATACGTTCAATGTGGATCAACTATACCCAGTGACGAATTTACAACCACAGGATCGGATTTATACTGGAGTGTCAAAGTGAAAGACTATGAGAGTCAACCGTATTTGAGTATGATTATCAAATCAGGTAATGCGTTGTGATAAGTTATCTTAAAATGCATCATCATTTTCAATTCAATTAGGATCGCGAATTTCGAATATGCTAATGATTCATCTGTGTGCTGCAATGAACATCCTGTGTACATTCTTCTACGAATGATTTAACAAAGGTAGGTGATTTTATTTGTCTTGTAGACATTACATGGTTCTCAAGTAAACCACAAACCAATTTGGAGAGAACTCTTAGGTACCTGCTTTACACGATACTTTTATATTATCGCGATCTAGTAAGCTCACATCAACTAATACCGGACTCGTTTTTATCTTCCCGGTGGAACTACGCATTTTGATCTTTTCAAAGCCTTTTACTTAACTATATTTCTCCTTCTTGATGAAAAATTGAGAATTATTACTTTAACTAACGTCCATGATTTCCGCTGTAGCATGCCTCATTCCTCACCCTTGAAGTGATAAATTGCTCCTTTCTCTAAAACCATTCATCTGTCCGAAAATTTTCTGATTGTCGATTCCTGTGTGCATCCTATGTTTACCATTTTAGATGGAAAACTCTTCGAAACTTCACAACAGTCAACGATATCATTTGCTAACTCATAGCCATCGACGGAATTCTTCGTGTCATTTCTGTGTTTCTCCATTGCTTTTTTCCTTCCAGATTATTAATCTTGCAAAGCATATTTTCGTTACAAATAAAGTTGCACGTGTTTCACAATCCATTTTAAGTGACAGGTTGGGAAATGCTTTCAACACTTATGAACATTAATCTTGTAAACTCCGCTTTTTGAAGCCTTCGCCGGTTTCTCTACTCTAGGGGTATTTATATGACTGAATTTGACTTTTATGAGTTCGAATTACAGGTTATCCTGAATTTGGTAATGAACACACTCAAAATCATCGGCTTAGTTTCATAATCAATGAGGCGAATGAATATTAAAGTTTGACAGGCAGCTTGAGAGTCCTTCAGTCACGAAAATGAATATGGGATTGTCCACAATATTTACTGATGTTGCTGGGCCTATTCATCGAGTGCTTCAAAAATTAGAATTCCCGGATTTAGACGACGGTTGGTCGCGTACCTGTTGTGGGATAACGAAAATTCAGTGGGAAGAATACTAAGAAATTATTCATAGAGAGGTATCACAGGTAAGACACAGGTACTTTACATGCATATTATTCGATAGTCTGTGTATTCGTTTTTATTTTCGATCGATTGGTTCAGTCACTTTAGCATTCAGTCCTCGAACTTGAGAAATGAACCTAATTCATGTATTTTCTCAGAACATTGCACACCCTGGCCTCTGATGACCACTTCTGACGTAGTTAACTACCTAATCCTCTCTGCAACATAGATAAAACGTTTCCGATTAAATTCTTATCTGGGCTGTAGGGCGGTGACTGAATGAATTCGAATTGAACTCTGCGGAGTCAAAAACTTTGTAAATTTGAGAAAACAATTTATAATGAGGTCAAAATACTTCTAGTGTAAACCTCGATTGAGATGAAACTTTGGGCTTTATCTGGGAAAATGTGAATATTTATTATTGCATTTTGGGAGTCGTGGTCATGGAAAATCTGATTGACTCCCCCACTTCAAGGTTCATTTGCGAAGGTTAATCTTCAAGTTTTTTAGTGTACATTTTTCGTTCCCTTGGTTATCAAAGATTTTACGTCAGCCGTTTATAGTCACATGATCTACCAAATTATTCAGGACAAAATATTATTATTAATCAATATATATACTGTGCACTACATGAAAACAATATGCTGTTTGGACCACTTGGATTTAATGCAAAACATACTCTCATGAAAAAAAATCAGTCATTAGAACGAATAATTTTCTGTGTCGCTCTGCAACAAATTTGGAAGTACCACAAATTGTATGCTGACTTACAGATACAGTGGTGGTATAAGAGAATTAAGAAGGATGTAGTGGGAGATAAATTACGAAACAAAAGCTCCTTAGCCATAGATACAAGAATGACAATGGGTTATAAAATAAGTTTCTCAAGCCAGAGTATTATTCCTAAAAAGCGTATACTACAGACATATAAAGCCAAAGTGAGAATGTGGGCGTATTCAGCAATATAGAGAAAAACTTGTTTGTAAACGAGAGGTATTCTCTTGTTTGACAGAATGGAGTTAACTACAACTGACCAAAGAAAAATTACTGGCGGTACAAGTTTAGCCGGTCGAACAATGTGGGTATTCAGTAAGTCATTGTAGTCATTATGCTCCTTAATTGAGTCATCTGAGAATTATTGCACTAACATAGCAGCATCATGTGCATTGCTAATAGGTATGGTCTATCATACCATAAAGGATGTTATAAAAATCTTTTTCCGATCTAACGGTGGAATTTAGCTCATCCCAATGGCATGGTGCTTGACATCAGATATGTCGATGACCACCTTGTAGGGCGAAAACTCGGGGAGTGCATCAAACTTTAAACCGCGTGGTATATTGTTTGCACCATCAAAGTGTGAATTGCTTGTTCGGTACACAGAGTAACCATTTGCATAAACTCGCAGTTTTGGTGATCAGCTAGAAGTGGACGAGAACGTTTGCTCAACTACAACATCTGCGCCGCCACACGGATATCGGAATTCTCCTAAATGCAATACATATACATATATTCTTGACTCGATATGAAAATAACATGTGGATTTCTCGGGGCTTAGCAATTAGACATATGGCAGCATTCTTTTGAAAACATTCCGCGTAACAATCACACGGTATAAATGGAGGGGTTTATCAGAATAAAATACACCATAATGCACATTTTCCGCTGCTCACACAATTCTAATTAAAAAGACATTTGCTGTTTGTGGATGTTCAAACTTATTCTCACTCTTCTGGTCAGTGTAGAGTTTTCGAGGTTCGCTGATCATCATGTTTGGTAATTTGCTCCATCCTTCCATTGCTCGTGTATCACAAAGTAATTCCTGATGCTCGAGGTGCTGTTTAAGATACCTCTTTGTGAATCACAAATTGTACAAAATATTTAAGTCTNTTTTCATTTTAGGCCATAGATCTGAAACAGCTGCTATGTTAAAACAAAAATGCTGCGAAATATCCCCTTATTGTAATTTGTAAATCTTGCATCAGATCAATCAGTTACATATATCGATTAGCAAATTACATAAATATATCTACTAGAACTGTTTAGTAGAATAAAAATAGTTTCCGAATCACTATCATCCACACGACTGTGCTCATCTGTATCCCGTGAGATCTTGTGATTCCTTTTTTCATCAGCGTCGTCAGCACCGGTTCTTGTTGAAAGTTTTATTGACATGTTGATGACGTTCCTACTCTCAAGTTTCATCCTTCAGCGGTTGTCGTGTATAGGTAGGGCACTCTGAAACACTCGTCTGCATACCTCAATACCGAGTGGTTACAGACGAACCATAAAAATCCGCTTGTGTAATAGTACTGTATGTTTAAAACGGTTAATTCGTTATCAATTACGATAAACTACTATATTTGCGTACAAGTGACAGGTGTGAATACATTTATATTCACTTGCAGACAAGGTGCGCAACGAATGAAAAGTTAGATGGATTTACCAAAACGACTGAAAAATGGGATTTTTAAAACAATGCGCGTCAACTCACCATCGATAACATTTTAAAAATTAACAGTCGACCGTCGATTTTCCAGCAAGCACATCAAACACGCAATTTACTGACATGATATCTTCAGTGATACCAAATTTGAAGGTTTCCAACACACTTGTACAGCTTGTACTAAAGACTAGGCATCGAGTGTGCGGAGCCACGTATCAAATTTGATATAAAGCTAGCATTCGTTTGCGGTAGTTTATCGGTTCGTGATAATCAAGTTGATGAAAGTGGCTCATGTACGATGATCGACAGTGAAATATGAAAATAGTAATTCATAACACTAGTACCTTCGGATTTATTTTCAAAATTCTATGGCAAATGATCTCGGATGAGACATTTCAGGTGAGCAATTGTAAGCATATTAGAGTTTAAAAGAATCCGAGCGATCGCATGAGAACTTCATGGGGCATCTCGGTCGGTCTGTTCCTGTGGAGACAGAATGTCATATAAGAGACTGGTCACCGGTGGAAATCCACCGTTTGATTCACATGCGTTACAAGGATACTATGGTATCACGCATCTCCGGAAGATATAAAACCGCCGACTGATTTTGTTGATCTTCTCGGGTATTTCACTGTAATCCTTCTTTGTAGTGCTCGGGCGGTTCGATTGATTCAAAAAGATGTATTCCCAATCCAATTTCCTCTCTCATGCTACTATACCGCCATCTCTCAAAAAATAAAATAAAATTCAATTGGGAAGCTACACGTCTGAGGGAGGACCTTTATGATGAAAGATACATTAGCTACATGCGTTTGTGGGAAACCTGCGTAGATTGTCCTGCTCAGATAATTTCAGGACAGTCGGAAGTCATGCTGTGGGACAAATGTTTGTGTCCTTGTTTGAACTAGGTATAACGTGGACTATAATGAGTAGTAAATGAATGACTGGACAGCTTTTTCCCGAAGCACACTTCTGGTTTTGCGGTTCTTGCCATTGGCCAGGTATAAGTGTTTGATAATCTTCTGTCTGTTCGTTCTGATACTCCCAAGGTGAAATATGCAACTTAAATCTCATTTTCAGCTCGGGAGTGGGTTTGATACTGATAAGGCTAATCAACAACACTTGATACAGAATCATCACAATGATCGTTCGAGATTTGTTCGTTTCAACTCCACTCCATTAGCTTTAACTGAGATTTGTATTGGGTATCAATCCAAAATTTTCTCTAGCAATGACAAAGACGTTTGATGAAGATGTATCGAGTCGGTATTAAGGTTCTGGTGAACTCTTTTGATAAAAGTGATTAATTTGCCCAGTGGCATTATCAATGTTCGTCAGATGGAAGTCTTCACATATTTCCATGGAGGTGTGCCAAGAATATGGGCAACTTCCACCTTTCAGAGAAGTTGGGGTAAAATTTCTGATGAAGCCAAAATTCATTTCTTCATCAGGTATACC